TTCTTCTCTGTGCTAGTGAATTTTTCTCAAGTAAAGTTGTCAGTTATCTTCATAATGTAGTTTGTTATTAACTTCCTACATTAGTATGCTTTTGTGCTACTTCAATTAAATAGAAAATTGGTATTCATATAAGAGTCTGTATTGATCCCTTCTTCAATACGTTTATTACTTTTATTTACAGATCACTGAGCAACCTGGATGCTGTTTGCCTGTAGTGGAAGCAGAAAGCATCAAAACCTTTCAATATAATGTGCAGATGGAAAAGCCTTTTACCGAAGAGAATCTTTCTGGTTTTTTAAATTATCATACGATGGATACTCATTCTGTTCAGCTGGAATTTTCTGTAAACTTATCACTATTAGATTTCATTAGGTAAATACTTGCTGGAATGTTAATTCAAGTTATTCATTCATTTACCACATATTTTTTAGACCTCTTATCTGGACAGAGACACTATACTAGGTGCTAGGGAGTATAACAATTAAAAACTAGACACAGTCCCTACTTTAAGGGAACTTCTAGTCTAGGGAGGCAACATTAAGCATTACATAAATACATACATAATTGTGAATTGTGTTATGAAAAGAAAATAAATGATACAATGAGAGATTATAATATGAGACCTGATTTAGGTTTTGGAGTTGGTTGGTGATCTAGAAAAGCTTCTGAGAAAAAGTATTATTTAAACTAAAGCCAAAGGTTCTGTATGGCTTTTTATTTTAAAGCTTTTAAAGTTTCTCTCATTTGTATTTCATTCTTGTGATTAATTCTTTCTTGAAATCTCTTTGTTAAGCTTTGAGAACTTTAAGCAAATTACTCGACATAGTTATTAAACTTTTATTAAACATGCAGTAAATATTTAACATTATACTAGGCACTGTGCAGTGTTACCAAGATAATTGAAAATAATCTCTTAACTCATCTGCTCTCATTTAGTTTTATAAATGTATTATACTATATTTGAACATTTTAAAAAATAAAAGCTGCCCAAACCTTCAAGAATGCAGAATACTAATAAATATATATATAAAAATTTTTTAACCTCCCATATCATTTGTGTTACACTACTGTAATTTTTGCCCACTCTTCAAAGTTTTTTAGTGAGAACATGTCTATCAGTCTGTCAAAGAGTACTATATTTATATATGTGGTCCTGTATAAGATAAAATCCAGCCTTCAAAAAACTTTAATCTGTGACTTTGAAGGTATATCCCATGATGAACATTAGTAATCTGAGGAAGCACAATATATGTAACACAGTTGTTCTGTGTGTATTAATAAAATCCTCTGTATCTTTTAAAAAATTTGTATTGCTTATAAAATCCATACATACTTATTATAAAATTTAAAT